CATGCCGAGAAACCATTATCTGAGAATTTGGCAGACAGAGTGCTACACCTAACTGGCAGATTGGAAACCTGGCTTGGAGGGTCTCGACAAGGAGGTTGAGAAACAAAAAGGAACATTTCAACAGTGAGAGCTTGGGGGAAAACTTATAAAGAAGGGTACTCTTGCAGTCAGTAACGTTCTACATGAACAGTATCTAGAAACAATCTGGAGAGACGTCTCTAGAAGACAATGCAGAACAAACTTTTGATACAAGAACTCCCCAGTCCAGCACAATAACCAGGGTGCCCACGTATGGGTGCTGACAGGAGAATCATATGATAGTATCACTAGGAAGGTTTTAACATGTATAGCTAAAATTAAAAATTATGGCCGCTTGCCCGAGCATAAGCCGTTATTCAGCAAAGTACAATCATAAGCAAAAGTCTTCAGTGTTACTAATGTAAAAGGGTACATCAGACAGCCACAATAAAGAGAAAATAAGTTATCAGATGTGGGCTTAACAGCCACAGACTGAAATTGGTCTAAAACATTCTGCTTTCAGAGAGCCCATAGATAGATAGATTTATAGATAGATTTATTTATTTGTCACATACATAATCGTACAAGTATGATATGCAGTGAAATGCTTACACGACTGCAAGAAGGAGAGGGAGAACAAGTAGAGAGAAGAATCAATAATAATATAAGACTTTTACATCACAAAATAAAATATCAATGTTAAAATTTAAATATTAAAAATTAAACTAAAAATGCAAATACAGTATGAAGTGTAAAGTGTGCGAGTGCTAACAGCAGCAATATGGAGTGAATGAATTAAGGTGATGACCAGCAGTGTATTGACCTTCCTTTGACCATTCTTTTAAAGTGCAGATGTGCAGTAAATGTGAGTGTAAGAACATTTACCTAATCAGGCAGTAGAATGTATGTCTATATAGAGATCTGATTGAGAGACCGTATAGCCTGAGGGAAGAAGCTTCTCCTCAGTCTCTCTGTGTTGGCCTTCAGGGAGCGAAAACGCTTCCCAGACCTCAACAAAGAGAAAAGTCCATTATTGGGATGGCTGGGGTCCCTCATGATCTTCCTGGCCTTGGTATAGCACCGCTTGCTGTAGATCGAATTCAGGTCAGGGAGTTTAGTTCGGATGATTCTCTCAGCTGATCGCACCACCCTCTGAAGAGCTCGTCTGTCCTGCACGCTACTGTTCCCAAACCAGGTAGTGGTGTTTCCCATCAGGATGCTCTCTATGGTGCAGGAGTAAAAATTTCTAAGCACCCTAGCGGGCAGTCTGAAGTCTCTCAAGCGTCTAAGATGGAAAAGACGCTGCCGAGCCTTTTTCACCACGGTATTGATATGACAGGACCATGACAGGCCCTGCGAGATGTGTACGCCGAGGTATCTGAAGCTATCCACTCTCTCCACTGGGCTCTCGTTGATCATGGGGGTCTGGTAGTTCCTCTCCTGGTTTTTACTAAAGTCCATAGAGTTCACATCTAGTAACAGAGCTGCAAAGGGATCCCAAATTGTACCAGGGAAGCCCAGCTTGTCAGCCAGATTTAGCAGGGGATGGGGGAAAGAGGATGGTAATGACCCATGCATCAGAGGTGGTCTACAGCCTATAGCTGAATTAAATCAGTACTAGACCCTCTCACAAAAGAGCCAAATAAGAATAAGTCCTGCAGTAAGCTTCTGTTTAGCAGAGGTAGACGTGAAGGCCAAGCAAAATAAGCTAAAGGTCAGGACCCAAACTAATCCCCACTGTCCAAATATACTACAAAAGCAAAGGCAATAAGGAGGCCTGTAACAGGGCTCTGGCCAGCACCGTACTCCTCTCAGTGGCCATTTCACATAGGAAATCTGTCACAGCCCAGTTTCTGCATCAATGATATCCAATAGTGTTAACAGCATACATTAGGTGTATTGTATTTATGATTTATAACTTTGTGCCATGTCCTTTAATCAAGGAAGGTAAGCACAAAGTGTGCACACATGAGGCACCTAGCAAATGCATCACAAAGCCAAAACTGCTGAATGTTGTTCACGTACGCCCCAATTCCATTCTGCATGAAAACTGCGTCATGAGAATCCAAGAAGGGGGAGAGAAATAAACTAACAATTTAGCTAGTAAGCCGGAAAGAATTCTGTAAAGTCCCATGTACAAACTGCTGCCATGATTAGGTGTAAGAGAACATTGATTTACTTACGTTACAGCTTTATTCATTTGCATCCCCAACTGCTGAGAAATTTTGTACAGGTTCTGTAGAAGAGCGTTGGCTGCATCATAAGTCCTCCTGGGGTAAACCAGCAGCCAGTTATTCAGATTAGAAGCACTTATCAGAATCGGACCTCTCATTTCCCTGGACCAGTCTGCAAACTGGGGATTGTATTCTGCCTGCAAAGGACCATACAGATAAATGGCCAGGAGAGAGAGAGAGAGAGAGAAGAGAGAAGAGAGAGAGAGAGAGCAGTTCCCCCAGCCAGTCTTCACACTTCCCCAGTCTTCACACAGAGAGCAGCATTCCCCTAGTCAGTCTTCACACAGAGAGAGCAGCCTTTCCCCAGTCACTCTTCACACAAAGAGAGCAGCCTTCCCCAGTCTTCACACAGAGAGAGCAGCCTTTCCCCAGTCACTCTTCACACAGAGAGCAGCATTCCCCAGTCTTCACACAGAGAGAGCAGCATTCCCCAGTCTTCACACAGAGAGAGCAGCCTTCCCCAGTCACTCTTCACACAGAGAGAGCAGCCTTCCCCCAGTCACTCTTCACACAGAGAGCAGCATTCCCCAGTCAGTCTTCACACAAAGAGAGCAGCATTCCCCAGTCTTCACACAGAGAGAGCAGCCTTCCCCAGTCTTCACACAAAGAGAGCAGCCTTCCCCAGTCTTCACACAGAGAGAGCAGCCTTCCCCCAGTCACTCTTCACACAGAGAGCAGCATTCCCCAGTCTTCACACAGAGAGAGCAGCCTTCCCCAGTCTTCACACAGAGAGAGCAGCCTTCCCCAGTCTTCACACAGAGAGAGCAGCATTCCCCAGTCAGTCTTCACACAGAGAACTTCACCAGCAATAGAGATAGTCACTCTCACTGGCTTAAAAAAAACTTACAATTCGTCCGCTCAGCAAAATCTTCTCTGGAGGGGCAACCCTGCCCGCAAAGTTTAGAAGCTTGGTGTCAAAGTTTAAGCCCCAATCACCCAGCTCCTTCTGAACACTTTCATCCCTGAATACCAAAGACAAACACAAATCAATCTTATTGGGTTATCCAGCAAAGTTCAGATTATTGGTAACATTAGAACAGATATAAGAGGCAATGTATAAAGGAGTTAGTCAGAACAGAACCCGATAGAACACCTTTGGGATGAATTAGAGCGGAGACTGCGAACCAGGCTCTCTCATCCAACATCAGTACCTGACCTCACAAATGGTCCAACATTCCCATAGACACACTCCTAAACCTTGTGGATGCCTTCCCAGAAGAGTTGAAACTGTTATAGCTGCAAACGGCGGGTCAACTCAATACTGAACCCTACGGACTAAGGCTGGGCACACACCTTACAACCATACCAAAAAAAAACCCCCAAACATTTACTTGTGAATGTAGTTGAGGAATCGGCCTACTTGTCGTTCCCTCTGGTCTGGTGGCAATCGCGTGTGAACAGCAAGATCCTTCATGACACTAAAGTCGCTTCTCATTTTGTCAGTTAAACCTGGTCAAATATTAAAGAGAGAAATTGTAAAAAAGAAAAAAATTCAGTACACACTATCAGCCATTTAAACACTGCTGCTTATTGTTTCAAAACCAGTTTAACAAATTTAAACAATTGCGTTATTAATAAAATCCAGCAAACTCTGCAGCTGTGCAAAAACCAGTTCACCCGAGTGGCCTGTAAGCCACATTTGCAAGAATACAGAAAACAGCTCACAGGTGTTACTGGGATGAGTTTTCTGCAGGGTATGCGTCAGCAACCACACTTATACTTCCAAAGTTGGTAGCTGTGAGAAACATCCCACTAATAAAAGTCCCCCCGCCCCTTTTCTTTCATATTTGTGAGAAGCATCAAGGTCAGACACGTCCCCTGTCCAAACTATAGCTTATGAGCACAGCTTGTGTCCCATCTGCTAACTGTAGAGCTCTAGAAATGGCAATGCGGCAATTCGATTGACGGACAACGTCCGGACCAGAAAGTATTTTGTCTGGTCTAAAAACACATCCCCATTCATTCCTATGGTGAGAAGTGAGGATAGATCACACCACTGCGTTCAGTTCCAGGAGCGTTTAAAACAACACTGCATGCACTATTTGTTTCTGGCCTGGAAAGCTCTAAAATGCATGCAAATGCACTAAAAAATTCAATTGAGACAAAACAAATTGCACTGGAACGCATCAAAAACGCACACACCCGCATTTTCAGAAACGCATACAGATCTGGTCTGCAAATGGTGTGAACAAGCAAGGATAGGGGATCAAAATTGACCCAATCAAACCTAGAGGAAAAGTCAGATTGTTTTCAACGAAATTGCTATAGTTTTATCTTCTTCCGTTTCCCACACCCATTTTCTGTCTGATTTGTCCCCATTTCCTTGTTTACATCTGTTCCATCTGTACTACTCCTGGTCTCTGTGCTTTCCTACTACTCTCACAGTCTAACGCCCCCCCCCCGCCCCCCTTCTTCTGGTCCCACTGTTCCTTTTGGAAAACATCCCACACAGTTCCTTAATTGGGTTCCCAAACTCGATTTAAAGTTTACCCCAAATCATATATTCTCCTAAAAGAGAACAGTCAAAGGACGTGTGCTTTTCAATTGTATTGTATCAGCCATCAGCAAGGTCTGTGTGGTGGGGTTCACCCTGGAACAGTGGCGTAACCAGAGTTATGGGCGCCCGGGGCAGAATATTTTTTTTTCACCCCCCCCATATTATATAAACATCCACTAGAACTGTACCCCCCACCCCCACACATATATATCAGCTAAGGAACTACAAGTCCAAGCATGCCATCATTGTCCCTGTACACCCCCCCACACACACAACCCAGGGAACGGCAATATCTGGTTGTTGTACAGGGGCAATGAGGGCATGCTGGGACTTGTAGTTCCCTAGCTGATATCTTATGAAGCTGTATTCCACCTGAAAGTACTACAATGCTATTATAGAACTAAGAATAGAACATAAATAAAACTTTTTTTCTTCTTCTAATACTCGCCTGATTCCTGGATCCACCAACAAGCGCAGCCTCCCGTCTCCCATGCTGTTAGAAGTTGCATACAGCGTGTGCTGGTTACTACTTAAACCGACGCGCGCAGTGTGCAGCTTCTGAGAAGATACGCTATTAGCATAGCGGGGAAGGCGGCTGCGCATTTTGCATCACTCCCGCTACGCTAATAGCGTATCTTCTCAGAAGCTGCACACTGCGCACGTCGGTTTAAGTAGTAACCAGCACACGCTGTATGCAACTTCTAACAGCGTGGGAGACGGGAGGCCGCGCTTGTTGGATCCAGGAATCAGGTGAGTAGTATTAAAAAAAAAAAGGTTTTATTTTATGTTCCCGGGGACATTTAAAAATGTCCCCGGATTTTATTTTTAAAAAATGTGTCACCTTACCTTAGCCTGGTGGTCAGTGGGGGCTTCCTGGACCCTGGTTGTGGGGGGGTCTGCCGTTGACCCTGGTTGTGGGGGGGTCTGCCGTGGCCGCAGGTGCAGTGGCTCCTTCCCTCATGCACATGGCTGGCCAGCCCGCCCGCATCAGACGCGGCTCTGTGTGGGCGGCCGCTCACTCCTCCGAGGCCCCAGCGGGCGACCCTCTACAGTGCCTGATTGGAGGGCGCGTCTGCCTGATCCAGCCAGCCCGGATCGCCGCTATGCGATCAGGGCTGGCTGGATCAGGCAGAAGCGCCCACCACCTAACCCCCCCCTTCCCCCCAGTGACAGTACATCCCTCCCTGGCCAGCTCACCTCCAGTGACAGTACATCCCTCCCTGGCCAGCTCACCCCCCAGTGACAGTACATCCCCCCTGCCTTTTTGGGTCTGGTTCGTAGTACTGTACGTTAGGGCGTTTCATTTTTCCAAAGATGTGATTTTCATATGACTTTGCTTACGCCCAGAGTCTCAGTGATGTAAAAGATATGCCAAATTTCAAGAAGATTGGATAATATTTAGGGGTTGAACACATTGATCACTTTTATCACAAACTAGTGACATTTTTACTTCAGTTTCAGGATCCCAGGGGCACTGCATCAAGCAAGGTGGATGGCAAAGGCAATATATGCACTTTAAAATTGTCCTCTTCACTAAACAGTTGAATATTCCTCAACGACAATTGGAAGGAATAGTTTTAACTGAATGAGCAGCGCTAATATTTCTAACAAATCTACAGCTATACCAATTAAATAAGTGAGGTGTTTAGACCAAAGCTGCTGCGATATAGATCCTTAGGGTCTAATAGATAAATGTAAAATAATTACACAGCGCTAATTAAACTAAAGTGAATACATGTGTATATATACACCAAAATCAGTGTCAATTTATCAACTCATACGTGACTACCATATGTGATCAATGTTCATGAATGTTAATTCAGTGTTTTCCATATACAAGTGAATAACGCAAAAATAAAAACGTACATACACTCAGAGTGCTGAAATCAATCGTGACAAAAATTATGTGAACAAAATATTAATAGTTAATTATAAATATAAATTTCTCTGTGATCAAAATACATTTATCTTATTTAAAACTATAAGTGATGTATTCCTATGATGGAAATATT